TTCGTTCTAATCTGGATGACATTAATGCCTTGATCGATTCCTATTATCCTGTGTGTCTTTCCTTACAGGAAACATTCATGAAATATGCCAATATAGTCACCTTTCGGCAGTTTTCTTATACCTTAAAGACAGGTTGTGGGATGGAGTGGTGACACTGCTGGTTGACCAGCACGTGCCCACCTTGTCAGTGTCACTCAATAAACCCTTGGAGGCGTAGCCATCTGTGTTTCTTTGGGTCTTACCAACACTCTTTATTCTCTTTACTTGTCTCCTGGAGAGACTTATGATCAATCAAACCTTTATGCCTTCATTGAACAGTTGGCATCTCCCTTTGTAATCTTGGGAGACTTTAATGGACATAATATGAGAGCGTATGCTATCAGATCACAACCTTTCTCTCTTCCATTCTGGTACCTTTACCTATTTTCATGCACCTAGTCAGTCTTTTACTGCCATTTATCTATCTATCTGCTCCCCTTCACTTTTTTCTCACTTTTCTTGGAGGGTTGACAGTGACCCATGGGGCAGTGATCTTTTTCCTAACATTTTGAGGGAGATTGGTTGTGGTCGATGGCACCTGACCCGAATTCCATGGTAGTAGTTGTCTTGTACCTCTCTCTCAGAACTTGATCCTGTTGTTGTTAGTCTTCTATCTTTTAATGACTGCATGGAGGCAGTAACTGATTGCTTCATTCAAACAGGTGTTCATTCTGTACCTAAAACTTTGACATGTTTGCCACAATATCCGTGTCTGTGGTGGTCTCCACAAAAACATCGAATTTCCTTTCTGTAATCCCTAAAATCTCCTAAATGCATTTCAAATGTATTTGTTCACTAAAACTTTATACTTTATCTGTTATTTTCTCTACCCTATCTCAAAACTGGATCAGTCAATTCGACTAACCTCGTAACCACAAAAAAAAAAAAAAAAATTGAAATAAACCTAAATTATCCTTTTTTCCTATCTAGAATGACTTCAAATTGTAACATCAAACTGCATTCATTTATTAAAAGTAGTTCTAAGTTCGTATCAGTATACATCTATTTGTAATTAAATTTTATTGCCCGTTGAACCATATCTAACTACTATCTGCATCATTATAAGTTGTAAATCACTCAAGGAACGTACAGCTTGCGTTACGCTATTGTTATTATTATTACTTATTTTACCTAACCTAGTCTTAAGTAACTTAAAAAGATCCATATTTTTAGATTTTAGTTACTTTTATAATAATAATTAAAGAATAAATATGAAAAACAAAGAAATAAAGTACTTACTCAATCTTCTTTTTTCTTGCCGTCGGGTTTCAAAGAGAGTTAACCCTAATTTTTTATACTATAGATAGTAATGCACAAAATTTA